CCCTTCCCTTTTCCACGGAGATTGAGTTGCTGAGGACTCTGCTGGCCCACCCGGTCCCCCCGGGCCTTCCCAGCAGTCTGGGGGAGAAGAAGCATCCAGCAACCAACCTGTGTCTCCTGCAGACCAGCCTCCCCTTGCTGCCTCTCAGGCTGCCCGAAACACGGAAGTGACCACCGCCAGGACATGGCAGCAGGATGCTGCAAGGCTCTCTGCCTCTGTGGGCTTTTGAATTTTTGGGGTGACATCCTCACCTGTACCACGGGACACACGCAAGTGCCCCTACAAATAGCACACCCACAGACAGGTGCGCTCTGTCTGGCCCTGGACCCCACCTCACCTGTGAGGGGGACCCCAGCTGCTCAGAGCAGGTGGGACAACCAGTCGGGCTCACTGTCCAGAGAGGGCCAGGGAGCTCGGTGAGATCAAGCAGCAAAGCAGGCCCCTTCTCCGAGCAGGCCACTGCGAACAAATAATGCTTAGTAGTGATGATATTCACATGTTTATCTGGAGCCTGATTCAGGCCAGATTTCACTGAGAATTTTCTAAAGTAATCATTATTTTAATTCTCAAATAACTGGAGTCTTGACAAAGATAAACATTTTGCCCAAAACCACATGCTTAATAAATGACAACACTCTGAGGGCTTCTGCCTAATAAGGAATGATAGTCTCCCCCACTGGCTGTCAGGTGCTTGCAGACCCCATGTAGTCTTCCCAGGCCCAATCACTAAATGCAAATGGCCCTGGGGAAGATCCTGTCAACACCTGAGGGCCCCCCAGCTAGGGGGTTGGGTCTCCCACAGGGAGGGGGAAGGTCTGTGAGACACTCACTGAAGAGGATGTCTTCCCAATTTTCAGTCTCAGAGATTTATGTTGAGGTTGAGAACTCCTGAGAGACTTCCCTGGAGAGAGATTTCTGAGAACCCCCTTTTATTAAAGGACAGTTTTCTGGCTTTGTTGAGCTGGGACGGGGGCGGGAGGGGGCGGGGATGGGGAAGCAGAACTTTGGACTCTGAGAGTAGAACGAAGAAATGAAATCTGGGGATGGCTTGTTCATTTATATCAAGAACTTTTCAAATATGCTTACTATTTATTTATTTATTACTACATAGAAGAACTGGGGGGGAGGATGGAGTGTAGGCCAGAGCTGCAGGGGGTGAAAGGATTCACCAGAGACAGAGTGGGGAACAGAACAGGCAGATTGACTGAAATACACTGCTGGGGGGAGCAGTGGGAGAGACAGGAGAGGTCTGCTGCGCCATGTGGGTAGCTCCCTGGCTGGGGATTAAACTCAGGCCATAGCAGTGACAGTGCTGAGATTTCACCCCTAGGCCATCAGGGAGGCCCCCCTGTGCTTACTTTTTAACTATGCAAACCTCCATTAGAGGACCAGATGCACTAAATATTCATGAGAAGAAAGTAAGTGATCAGATGCGTATAGAGACCGACCCTAAAGATACATCCATCTTGGGTTTGAGTGACTTGTGTGTTCTAGTGCTTGTCCTCTTAATGCTGCCTTGGCTGTAAGCAGACATAGAGAGAGACAGACATTGTTTTTGCCTCTCGAATATTCACCCTGTCTTTCTGCTAACTACAGCCCCTGTAATGGCCACGCATTCCAGGCAGGTGACCGAGGTGTGGCCAAACTGCATCCTCCCGTGTGGTCACAATGACTGGCACAGGGAAGGACATCACCCAGAGCAGGCCAATGGGGTTCAGTCCTGAGACTTTTGTTGGAACTGTTGGGAAAGAGAAACTCTTTCATGGCTGTTATGAAACTACCAGAAAGTGAACTTGGTGCTCTCGATAGCCTCCAGCTGGGGTGGCCCCCTACGGCATCGGGAAAGTATGTGACGTGGGAGCCCAGGTCCTCCTGACCCCAACCACAGAATCTGAAGTTCTGCCATCATTGTTCCTTCTCCTCATGTAGACCTGCTGGCTGCAGAATGATCATGGACTTGGGAAGCATTGTCTGGTTAGCAGCTGAAAGCAACCAGACCTTCCCATTTGGGCCCACTCGCTATGGAGCTTGATGAAAATAACAGTGAGAGGGCCTCCCTCGTGGCACAGTGGGTTGAGTGCAGTGCTGTGAGGCTGTCCGCAGCCTCTGCAGCGCAGGTTCGATTTCCGGCTGGCCAGGGAGATACCCACATGGTATGGCAGACCTCTCCTGCCCCTCCTGCTGCTCCCCTCAGCAGTGTATTTCAGTAGATCTGACTGTTCTGTTCCCCACTCTGTCTCTGGTGAATCCTCTCACCCTCCCACACCCCTGGCCTGTACCCCAGTTCTTGTATAAATAATAAATCTTAAAAAAAAAAAAAAAGAACTGAAGAGTGGGACAGGAACCAGAAGGCCAGCGAGGGTCCCGGGGTGGAAGGGTGTGCTTCCTGGCGCGGGGTGGGAATTCTGGATGGCATCCAAGTCCTCTGCTCCTTTTTGGACTATGTCCAAAAATCCCCTTGGATGGGTGAGGTGGTAGGCATAGAAGGGCCAGGGTGCTCTAAGAAAGTAGAGAGAAAATGTAAGATAAAGGTATAAAAAGCAGACTGACTGAGAGAAAATCTTGCTGATCCTGGAGAATTAAAAATGAACCCATTGGCTTCAAGGGTGTCTTCAGCACTGTTAATGAGTCAGAGATTTCCTTCCTCTTAGGAAGAGCAGTTTGTGCAAAAAGCAGGACCTAAAAAGAAGAATATTTTCTGAGTAGCCAGAAGAGGCTAAATGCACTTCTAAATCCATTTGTTTTAGATATTGCTCGTGAATCGGGCAGAAATCTTAGAGAGTAAAGAGGAGATGAGGTGGAGAAGACAGCCCCTCCATCAAACATTCAACCAGATGCTGACATCATAAGGCATCTAATGAAAATGCACCCACATTTTTTCCTTTTATTGGAATTGCATCCTGTAGGAAGCTAGGACTAGGAATTCACTAGGACCAATTAGTTAAAAGTCTGGGATTATAGACCTTTTATTTGCAGGGGAAACTGCCTTCCCAGGAAATGGGTTTACCAGTCTGGAGGATGAACCTTTGCTTTGATGTCTGAAAGTTCTGTCTTGAAATGACCATGCACATGTGTTCCACTGATTTGGGCTTGAGACCTGGATTGGTGTGACAGGTTATAGCTATTCACCACACTCTTTTTTTAATTCTTATTGAAAAGCTCTTCAAGGAATTTGGAGTTTATTTTGATACCCCTCACTTTTTCTAGGTTATGAAAAATATTGCACTACTAGTCATGGGCCTGAAAAATTTACAAATGTGTGATTTTAGTTAAGAATGTGCTTTTTATTTTTCTTACGAGTTTTCTAACTTCAAAGTTAGTTTTAGTGTCTGACACCACATTGGCAGAGACCAGCAAGAAAGGAAGGGGATTTAAATTGGCAAATTGCCTGGAAATGAGGGAGAAAAGGCACTTCCTTACTGGAGTTGCTAGCTTAGCCAAAGCAACAAAGAAATAAATACCATGTCATATTTTCCCTTTAAATGTTCTTTTAAACTTTTATAAAAGTAATACAAATATGCTTTTTTAAAAATCAAGGGATACAGATGGGCTAATAATGAAAAGCAATTATTTCTTGCGCTGCCCAAATCCTGCTGCTGCACTTAAGAAGGAATCACTTTCAACTCTACATCTCCAGTACTTCACTTACATAGCTATTTATGTTTTTTTTTTATTGAGGTATAATTTATGTGCAACAAAATTCATCCTTTTAAAGAGAGAAATCATATATATATATATATATATATATATATATATTCATGAAGATGTGTTGCAACCATCACTACTAATTCTAGAACATTTTCATCATCCCAAATGGAAACTTCCTTCCATCTGACTCTGGGCAGCTACTACTTTACTTTATGTTTTTGTGGGTTTACCTCTTCCAGACAGCTCATATAAATGGAATCATGCAATATGTGACCTTTTGCAGTGGCTTCTTTCACTTTGCAAAACATTTTAAAATTTCATCCATGTTTTAATATATACAAATACTTCATTCATGTTTATGACTGAATAGTATTCCATCACATGGATATACCACATTTTATCCATTCATCAGTTGATGAACATTTATCTGGGTTGTTTCCTCTTTGGGGCTATTATGAATAAATTCTGCTATGAGCATTCATGTACAAGTGTTTGTGTGGAAATAATGTTTTTAATTCTTTGGGGGTATATATATATATATATATATAGCTATTTCTGATTTATCTTTTTTAGACTTCCTATCATAAGAGATGAGTACTTTATTTATACTACTCTCCTTTCCTAACCCAACTTGCCAATATAATATCTATTTTTACTTCCTGTCTTTATAACATTTGTAACTATGCAGCTATGATTGCATTTCAGCAAATACAGAAACCTGACCACAGTAACTCAAACACACAGGAAGATATTTTTCTCACATGGGCATAAGCTTTCTTAGACTTGCACCGACCCCAAATCATACGGGAAGCAGAGGGGAATGGATGTTGGTTAGATAGGGTGCAGCCCCAGTAACTTCCTTCCAAACACTGACACCTTTACTTCTACCATTAATTCTGCAGTACGCTTTGGTTCCCTTTTGCTCACATAAGATTAGCACCTCACTCACTTTAAATTCTTTTCCTCCCTTTCAACTTCAATCATTTGAACACTTACTTTTGTATTGACAAAGTTAATCACATTTCTCCTCTGTCTTGTGATCCAAGTTTTATCTGTATGTTGTCTAACTAATTCTGAAAATTGAAATTTAATAAAAGGATTTATATTTTGACAGTATAAATGTTCCCTGCAGAACCAAGGACTACTTTCCAACTTTTCCTTTCTTTATCAACTTTTTGTTTATCCTGGAGTTTGTTATTTCTTTCCCCTTGCACTATTAGAGTGAGGCCTTTTTTTTTTCTTTACTCAAAGACTCAACTTAATTTTTCTACCTAGGCCAAGACATTTAACAAATCACTGTTTGTTCTGTAATGGATCATCATCTTCACTGCCAAACAAAACTATAGAATACATCTCGTATGTCACAGATATGCCCACTTCCTGTTTTGCTAAGAAAGGGTGTTTAATCTTGTAACAATCTCTTTCCCACAAGAGGAATGCCACAACTGGTACCATAATAATAGTTGCAGACCAGTAACTGTGGAAAGATCTAGGCCATTTTTAAAGAGTTGTTCACTTAGCTCCATTTCTATCTTGTATAAAAGAATAACAAGGAACAAATAAACACCAAAACTAGAACAAATTCTTAGAAGCTGAAGCCTTTCACAATCACCTTTGACTTTCAATCAAATTTAAAAAAATAACTGAGGAATCTAATTAACTAATGAGAATACAGAGTTGAGTAATATTTTCAGTAACTGTGGTGAATGCTGATAAATATTTCATCTGTTTGGAAATAGTCTTACTGGATGCATCTAATTTAAATAGGAAAAAAATTTTCATAATGCATTTATTAGATCCAGTCACATGTGATTTTGTATATCATACAATAGTGAAATAGGGATAGAGCTATGGATTAGCTAAGCATGTGAAAATTATAAACAATTCTGCCTGCAAAGGATATTTGTCATTATTGACTGCTCTACTGTCAAAGTGTAACTGGATCCCCATGCTGCCCCGAGGCTACCTGGCAAGGGGCTTTGTTGGGGCTGAGGTGTGCAGGCCTTGGCCTGCCACCCGCAGGTGCCCCAGTGAAGCCAGCTCTGGCCATGGATCCCCAGACCCCACAGACTCACGAGTCTGCCCTGACCTGAGTGTGGGCTGGGCTTGGTTTTCCCACTTTCATATCTGCCTATAGGTTCCTAAATGGACCAATCTGGCTTAAGCTCACTTCATTAGTTAATTATTTGGATTGAAAAATGGAAACAAGCTGATTGGTGATAAACAATTGATTGAAAACAGTCCAGTCAGGCTTGAAGGATGTGGACCTGAAGGGCTATAAGGCAGAGCAAGAGTCAGCTTAAATCATCCTGTTCCCAGCCTCCAAAAACAGAAGAGGGATTCTGCTCCCAGCCTTCGAAGAGGAAGCATTCATTGGACAAACTTTGAAGAAGGATTCTGCTCCCAGCCTTTGAAGAAAGAAGCATGGAGCAGATGACTTTTGTGGGATTCTGTAGATCTCTGCAGACCTCTAGGCTTCTAGAACTCCACACCCCCATAGACCCGCTCATAGACTCAGTCACTGCACCTGCCCCCTAGCCCTGCCTGTGACATCACCTGCAAGGAGCACTGTTGGGCTCATCCTAGTGGCTCAAACAGCTGACCACAGCGTCTGGTTCTCTGGTACCACCTCCTGGTGCTGTTGGTCCATCGTTGTTGTTGGGTCTGTGTTTGGCCCAGCCTTCGACAGTGATTTTGTATATCATACAAAAGCCATGGGCTGCTGTGTCACCTCATCTTCCATGAGCAGCCTTTATTTGGGACTTCTGGACACTCCAAACACTATCTGAGGTGAGACAGCTGGCTTCTTAAGGCCTTAGAAACTTTTTCTTGGGCCTCCCTGGTGGCACAAGGGGTTAAGCACCGTACTATGAAGAAATCCACAGCCTCTGCAGCACGAGTTCGATTCCTGACCGGCCAGAGAGCAACACACATGGCACAGCAGACCTCTCCTGTCTCGCCTGCTGCTCCCCTCTGCAGTGTATTTCAGCAGATCTTTCTGTTCTGCTCCCCACTTTCTCTGGTGAATCTGCTCATCCCCCACACCTCTGATCGACACTCCAGTTCTTGTATGCATAAATAAATGAATTTTTTAAAAAAAGAAAATTTTTCTTTTCCCCCAATCACCTGTTTGTTAAATAAACCCTCTTGTTGTTGACACCTGAGCCTGAGTAATCTTGCAATCATGCGCATGAATTAGAACCCACTGATGGTAAATGGTCCCTCACTTTGGCGCTGTCCCTTGGCACTGTAAAGCACTGGTACAAGTATTGTTTCAGTACTGTTTCAAAAGGACTAAGTAAAATTACATTCTAACTCCCTATGACCAGGAAGAGAGTGCCTGTGAATATAAGTAATGTCAGTTTATCCACAGTGTTGTGCAACCATCACCCTTTCTAGTTCTAGATCACTTTCATCACCCCAAAAGGAAACACCATACATATTAAGATGATACTGCCTATCTTCCCTTCCTCCAAGGTTCCCATAACCACTAATCTGCTTTCTGTCTCTATTGATTTACCTATTCTAGATATTTTATGTAAATGAATCACACACCTTGTGACCTTTTGTGTCTGGCCTCTTTTTGTTTCTTTAACTGAGCAGAATGCTTTCAATGCTCATCCATATCATAGGATGTATCAGCATTTTATCTTTTTTATGGCTGAATAATATTCCTTTGTATGTTTATATCACAACTTGTTAGTCCATCTGTTGATGAATATATGGTTTGTTTCTACCTCCTGGCTACTGTGAACAGTGATGCTATGAACATTTTGTGTACAAGTTTTGTTTAAACACTCATTTTTGGATCTGAAAAAGATATTTTATTTGTTATCCAAGTAACCAAGATCTATTAAGTGTCTTTAAGATCAGGGGGAACTTCCTCTTTTGTTCCCTCACTGCCTGTATCTTGTTTGAAAACAAAACAAAGCAAGTCAGTGGTGAAACCACCAAGGGAAAAAAAGTAAAGAAAGGTCATGCTGTTTGGTGTGATTTTTGACACCACCTTTGGAAAGTGCACTAAAAAATCACAGCACTGGAGAACAGAAAGGAGCACTGGGGTTATTTTAGTTATCAAAATCACATACTTTTCCAGCATTTCATGTGGAGAGTTTTGTTCCCACAGCCTATGTCTAAAGGAGGTTGCTGTTTGAACCTCAGTGTCTTCTAAGTGGCTGGCTGCAAACCAAGTCAAAATAAGCAAAAATACGGTGACAGTGTTAACTACCCAGCAAGCAGTCCTGGCAATGGCTGACTCGGCTTTGCAGTGTACAGATACTCGGAAGGAGGGATGGAATGAGTTTGAGCGAGAAGCTGACCTCCCCAGTGATAACACTAGCCACAGTGTGCTTCCCCTACAATTTGAGAATCCCACAAAGTCTCCACCACCCTCTAGACTTTCAACCCACCCTGGAAGTCTAAGCAGTTCTAGAACTCTGAGAAGGGATAATCCTGAAAGTATTTCCCTGTTGAGTCAATACAAAAGGAGATGGACATGAAAACTTGCTGGAGACCAGCAGCTTCAGCCCAGGGCTCCTGAGGTGGAGAGGCCTGGGAACTCAGGGACAGACTTGCCAGGGACCTTCCTCCATCCCCGGCTCTCTGTCCACTGTTTGTGTTGGCCTGTCTGTGACTGCCTGACGACACACCCATTCCTTGAAATCTAGCGTAAATCACTGAACACATCTCAGCTTTAGTGTCCTCCACTGAGCAATGGTGTTAATAAAAGGATCTATCAGGCCTCCCTGGTGACACAGGGGTTAAAGACAGTGTTATGAAGCTATCACCAACCACTGCAGCAGGAGTTCGATCCCCGCTGGCCAGGCAGCAGCCCACATGGCGCAGCAGACCTCTCCTGTCTCGCCCGCTGCTCCCCTCGGTGTATTTCAGTCAGTCTGCCTGCTCTGCTCCCCACTCTGTCTCTTGTGAATCCTCTCACCCCCCCCACCCTTGGCACCTCTGGCTTACACCCCAGTTCTTGTATGCATAAATAAATAAATCTTGAAAAAAATAAAAATAAAATAAAAGGATCTACCACTTAGGGTTAGTAAGAGAATTGAGTTAATCTACATAAAGCAATTACAGAGTGTTAGGTATATTGTCAATAGCAAAACAATGTTATTGTTATTCTTCTGCCAGGGTTAGGGGTGAGGGGACAATGGCATCACTACAGATTTGCACTCACTGCCTAGGAATCCTGAGCACACCCCATAAGGGCCAGAGGGGGAGAGGGATGTGAGAAGGAACAGTGTATCCAGATCCCTAAATATCATGGTGCACTCCAGGGAGAAAACAGAATCTGCATCAGTGTTGCCGGCTGGACACCCAGGGCCTGTCCTGAGAGCAAAAGCCTTCTAACCTAGTATTTTTAATAAGTTAAATTTCTAAAAGTTTCTCCTATACAACATTCATCCATTCGTTACCATTTCTTGATCACCTACTGTGTGCCAGCCACTGTCCTCGAATCTGGGGATACAGCAGCAAAGAGCTGATGTTCCGGAAGGCCTTTGCCACACCCTACCCGTGTCCTTAAGTTCTCTGTGCGTCAACTTCCTAATCTATAAAATTGAGATAATGATCTAGCTACCTCACACGGCTGCCATTGGTTTTAAATAAGTAGATAGCATAAGCCCTTGGAAGAATGCTTGTCCCACTGAGATACCTGTCAAGCATCCTAGGAGAGATTCTTGGTCGGGAGCTCTAGGGGGCAGGTCAGAGATGGAGGTGTGAATCTGGAAGTAATGGGCACACATTGGTGTGAAAATAATTGAGATCACAATGGGAGTGGAGGTGGAAAAAGGAACATCCTGGGGATTGAGCCCAGGGCCCCCAGAGTTTCAGAGCTGGAGATCGGAGGAGGAATACACAAAGGAGAGTGAGAAGGGAGCAGTCAAAGAGACAGAAGGAAACTTGGGGCGCATGGCATCCTGGGGCCACGTGAGAAAGCTCTTCAAGTAGCAGGCCCTTCAGCTGCCTAATGCGCCTGAGATGGTCGAGATGAGGACTGGGGCCTCCCTGGTGGCGCAGGGGTAAGACGCCAGCACTGTGAAGCTGTCCACAGCCACTGCTGCACGAGTTCAATCCCCAGCCAGGGAGTTACCCACATGGCACAGCAGCCCCCTCCTGCTTTATCCGCTGCTCCCCTTGGCAGTGTATTTCAGCAGATCTGCCTGTTCTGTTTCCCACTCTCTCTGGTGAATCCCCTCACCCCCCACATCTCTGGTTTATACCTCTGTTCTTGTTTGCATAAATAAATAAATCTTGAAAAGAAAAAAAAGAACTCTAGGAGAAATTGTCACTGTTCTAGGTCATTCTGTTCCATCAAGTTGGAAGCCATGTCTAACATATTGAGTAAAGCTGGCAAGTTAACTCAAGAGCCTGTGTGTTTAACAGCTGCCAGTACAGTCACCAGAGCCCTGTGCTGGGTGCACACGTGTAGCTCAGGGGACATATGTCACGGACGTTGTGTGCAAAAACTGAAGAAG